TTTTTTTTTTTTTTAGTGCCTACAAAATACAACTGATTAAATCTATTAATTATATGGATTCAGAACTTTTAATTTTATAGATTCAGAACCTTTTTTTTTTCTTCCTTTTAAGTCACCTCCCCATTTTTCTATTGTCTATTAAACCTCATCTGGACACTTTTATCTCCAGCAACCCCAAGTCATAAAAAAACTATTTCATTAATAATCAATATTTATTGTTGCAATAATTTGTTTTATCTATTAACACATGTATCTATTTATATCTATCAACTACAATAACGATAATATAATTTGTAAAAAAAATAATTATTATATAAGCTGTTATTCTTATTTTCCTGTAAAAATATAGATACAAATACTTAATAATTTTTCATAAGATATTCAGAATTATTTTTACATCATATTTCTTGAAACACGTTTATTTTTTACTTATTTAATTTTTTAAGTTTATGCTGACATAAACTCTAAACAAATAATAATAATAATAATAATAATAATAATAATTTATATTTATTATTTAGAATTTACGAATCTTACCAAGTAGATACAAGTTATGGGCCACTATACCACGCCTATTTTATAACCCGTACATGTTTATTTTATTTTATTTTATAATATTATTTATTAACATGTAACTATTTATAATTAAAATTGAAATACAACAACAACAACAATAATAATAATATAATAATAATTATTATTATTATTATTATTTAGAATTTACGAATCTGACCAATTAGAGACAAGTTATGGGCCACTATACCACGCCTATTTTATAATCCGTACACGCTTACTGCAAATCTTCCCCCTATTTATTCGATTTCTAAAATGGCCCTCTTCCAACAGCAGCACATCACGTGACAGTCTCTTCCGGTTCATGAGGCGGTTCGGTAACGTACGTGACGTCACTGCGCATGTGCCGCTCTTCGGTGGGGAAGCATCATCAGCATGGCGGTGCCGTGGAGCCGATGCTGGAGGAGCAGCCCTGGAGCGGCTGTGTTGCTGGACTGGTGTTGCGGGTTCAGCAGAAGAGCTTTCACTCATGCGGCTTCAGGAGGCGGAAGAACAGAGAGCTGCACCGCTGCGACCCAGGTAGCGTCCACACTGATGCACAGACATGAAGGTCACCAGTCTGAGCCAATGAATGACAGACAACTGCCTTGTAGTATTACACTAAGTTTACATTAGGAGTGCGAATGTTTTGCGTTGTAACAGTGTTAAAATTCTTATATCATATAATGTATATGGAGTCGTCTGTATAAGGAACGAAAGGAGTCTTGACTGAACTGTGTTAAAGGTCAAGAACTCATGTATGAGAGACACTCCCACTGCGAACTGTTACAGAATGTCACTGGTGCAGAAGAATGCTTGACAGGAAGTCTTGTGTTCCGTTTTGATGGGTACTGCACTACTTTTAGCTTTATGTGATCTTGTATTTATGTTTTTCAGGTTTTATTCTGGCAGGGCCCTGTATATAATTTTAACAAACCAATGACTATTGCAAGGTATGTCAATGTCACACATGTGTACTAATTAATATAGTACTATTACAATACTAATACATTCATTTGTATGCATAAGGACACCGGGGCAAGTTGTCACCTGGGGAAGGTGTCACAAGGACTATATCAAAGTAACTACGAGGGTCAACATTTTAGTTATGTCTACAGTGTATTTCTAACAGGCCACATTAGCTGTTTGGTGTTTTGACATGAAAATTATTTAAATTAATTACAAAACATTTGAATTGTATACACTAGTTCAAAAGTCTGAGGTTAGTAAGAGGTTTTCTTTATTTTTTTAAAAGAAATTAGGTAACACTTTATTTTAAGGTGTCCTTGTTACACATGTTACATGTACTTACTGTTATAATAACAATACATTATGCATAATTGCATACAAGTAACCCTAAGACAAACCCTAATCCTAATAGTAAGTACATGTAGTTAATTAAAGGGGTCATATGATATAAAATAAAGTCTAACCCGAAATGAATACTTTTTTTTCAGTATGGTTGCAGTCATCTGATCAAAAGTGACAGTAGAGACATTTAAAATGTTACAAAAGATTGTTACAAAATATTACAAAAGATGTTTCTATTGTAACTATTTATCAAAGAATCCTAAATAAAATGGTTCACAGTATCCACAAATATTAAGCACAACTGATGATTTCACAATGTTATGTGAATATTATATGACTGTACTTTTTATTAAACAATTTTTTTTTTTTAAAGATACAGATTTTGAAATTGACTTTCAATAAATAATAAAATACAACAAGTGTCAAGTGTGTCAACAAGCCCTGATCTCACTTATGTGTACATTCATACTGTGTGAAGTCATTTTCTTCTTTCATTTATTGTTTTAATAAATAAGGAAAACTTTTTTTAAAACAAATTTTGGTTACGCTTTATCTGAAGGTGTCCTTGTTACAGTGTGATAATTATACATTTAAGTACTACGTAATATTAATTAACTACATGTACTACTATAAGGTTAGGGTTAGGGTTTAGGGTTACTTGGATGTAATTCTGTATAATTAATTGTAATTATTATAGTAAGTACATCTAACATGTGTAACAAGGACACCTTAAAATAAAGTGTTACCCAAATGTTTCATGTGTTTATTAAGTACTTGCATGTTTGTGTTTCAGACACAGGAATAGACATTATGCATAATTGCATACAAGTAACCCTAAGACAAACCCTAATCCTAATAGTAAGTACATGTAGTTAATTAAAGGGGTCATATGATGCTGCTAAAAAAAACATTATTTTGTGTATTTGGTGTAATGAAATGTGTTTAATAAATAAGGAAAACTTTTTTTAAAACAAATTTTGGTTACGCTTTATCTGAAGGTGTCCTTGTTACAGTGTGATAATTATACATTTAAGTACTACGTAATATTAATTAACTACATGTACTACTATAAGGTTAGGGTTAGGGTTTAGGGTTACTTGGATGTAATTCTGTATAATTAATTGTAATTATTATAGTAAGTACATCTAACATGTGTAACAAGGACACCTTAAAATAAAGTGTTACCCAAATGTTTCATGTGTTTATTAAGTACTTGCATGTTTGTGTTTCAGACACAGGAATAGATGTCTGTACAGAACACCACGAGTCTGTTGCAGTATATGCAGTGATACAAAGCTAAAAGATCCTTTCTCACTAGCACAAAAAGACTTGCAAAATTTATATGAAGACATAAAAAAGGTACATCAAGAGCACTTACCCAATGTAAAGTTTTATAGCATTTTATGCCTTATAGGCCTTATAAAACAAAGTACTGAAACTGACCTTTGAACTTCCCGTTTCAGCAGTTGCTCGTCTCTAAAGCGGAGCTGAAAGCGCTGTGTGATTATTACTTTGATGGAAAGGGAAAAGCCTTTCGACCAATGATTGTAATCCTGATGGCTCGAGCTTGTAACGTCCACAGCAATAAAGAGGGGTGAGAAAGCACTTCAGCGCTGTGTGTGTATTCATAATGTGATGCATCAGTCAGTGTTAATAACGCAGATCTGATGTCCTCAGGGTTCTGCTGCCGGCGCAGCGCTCCATCGCTATGATCTCTGAGATGATCCACACTGCCAGCCTGGTGCATGATGACGTTATTGATGATTCGGACACAAGACGTGGCAAAAACACCATTAATCAAGTCTGGGGAGAGAGAAAAGTGAGTAACCCATCTGATCATAAGATGGATTTTAGGGTCTTAATAAAATCTTAATTTGCCCTTTCAAAAATTAAGGTCTTAAATCAAAGCAGAAAGTATTTAATTCCTAAAGTTATGCCATTAAATTTTGTTAAGTGAGCATCTGTAACAAAATTATTTTCCACAATATTTTAGTTTTTTTTCCCAATACATGCACACACACACACATATATATATATATATATATATATCCTTAAGTCAAGATATATATATATCCTTAAATGTAATTAAGCAAAAGATACATGCTAATTAAACATATGAAGTATAGTTTTCTGAGGAATTCTGAGGAACATTAAGTGAGTAATGTATATTTTATATATACGTATATATTTGTTATATATATATATATATAGATAGATAGATAGATAGATAAATGTGAAGAGTTTATTTGCAAAAACAGGTAACTCAGTTTTTTGAAATTTTCAAAAAAATCATGTTTTTTATTAT